AAGGGCAGGAAAGGAGTGGCCAGCAGCACCAGGTGCTGCCCAGGCAAGAACCATGCCGCCCTCCAGCTGGTCCCCAGTGATCAAGTGACCATGGTCCTGGCAGGTGTGGACAGGTTGCAGTAGTCGCAGGAACGGCAGTGGAGTCAGGATCCTCAGTTTCCGGGCAGGCCAGCTGTGACATGGGGGCCAGCACTGGCTAAACACTTCCTGGATGCCAGTGGCTGAGCTCTGGCCTCTTATCAGTCAGCCAGATGAGACGAGAAAGTGCGGCCTCAAGGCAAAGAACACTTGGTCCCTTGCCTAGCAGGTGCAGCCCAGCAGGGGGTGCTCTGGGGACAGGTGTCAGGACCAGCCATGGGCTTGCCTGTGCTCACCTGGGCTGGCCTGGGTCGATCCCTGTCTGTTCCGCTGCCCTGGTCACCTCATCTGCTTGCAGACAGGAGCTTGGACTGCAGGCCCCCTCAGCCTTCAAGCAGGAGGACGGGGGTGGGGCGGCACTCCTGGGCTGGCTGAGTGTTCTAGAAACGAAAGGGAAGGAGACACAGTGCACTCCTGGACCTAGGGCAGACTTAGCTGGGAGTAGTCTGAGCATCTGTTTTACCACTGATTAGAGAGGACCTTCCATCCTGCCGGAAGGATAGAAGGAACTCACGTTTTTTGTTGTCTGAGTTCCTGAACTTTTCACTTGAATATCATTGCTTATATGAAAGTGTGTGGGCTTACAGAACCATCACAACATCATATCAGACCTGGAAGGGGCTGTTTCCAGTCCCCCAAAGCCCGCCGAGTCCTCTCCTGGAATGAGCTCCCTCTCCCCGAAGACAAGCCCCATCCTGGCTTCTGAGTCCTCTGCTTGGGCTTCCTTGTTTTTGAACGTCACACATTGTAATGGCGTGTGTGTATGTGTGTTTGTGTGTGTGCACATGGTTGAAGGGGCTAATTACAGGGTGCCATTTGTCTGTTGTTTAAATACAAATTTTCAACTATAGAGGGGTGACTTTGGTACAGTATTGAGCTACTGAAGTAGCAGAAGGTGGGTTCAACTGGAATGTCTAGGGTAAAGGGGCAGCGCCCCTCCTGCCAATCCCACTGCAGGTTGTAGGCGTGGGTGTAGGCAGGTGGCAGTTACAGGAAAGTATGTCACCAGACTCAGGAAGACAGCAGATCTCAATGATAAATATTTCAGATTTTTTTTTTAAGAGAGATTTTTGCTATAGGGTGTTTTTGTTTGCCAGAGAGACAGAGACAAACAGAAACTAAGAAATTACCCCCAGGAGAATGGCCACACTGCAGTCCCTTCTTTTCCATTCTCCTCTCAGAATTTTGGGCACACACCACACGCATCCGGTATGAATTTAAACCACCGGGTTTGGGACTTGAACTGCAGTCAACTACCTGGGAGTCCAGCAACTTAACCATTACTCCATCTTGTCCCAATTGTTCGGATTTTTAAAGTAAGTTCAGGTGATCTTGTTTCTGATACACATTTACATTAAATACGCATATTTTTTACCTATAAAATAAGTCACAGCTTCATGTATTGACAGTCAGACATACACAGAAACGCAATGGTTATAAAAATTGCCCAGTCAGCTTAGCCTGGGATAATATTCATGTTTTAAATCCATTAATATTTAAATATTCTACATGCCATGAGGAGTTAATAATTATAGTTAGGGTTCCCATCCCAGTTCCTTTGAGTCGTTGTGGGAGGGGCTCACCCAGGCCGTTCCAGCCTTCCTGCCATTCGCCCGACTCCTGCAGGGCTGTGTGAGGACCAGACTGTTATATTGTCTTAGGTGACCAGTTTATGTCCTGGTGGGCAGCCACCTGGACAGTTCTGCCAGGGACATCTCTGGGGAGGCCCGTGGGACATGAAGCGGGCAGCATCGAGCGTAGCACGGTGGGCAGTGACAGCTGTCCCTCGCGATGGCTGGCTTCATGACAGGAGAGCAGGGCCAGCCCACATGGGAGTCCTTCCCTGCCTGCCCCTTCCTCTTCCTCCTCCTCTTTCTTTTTATGTATTTATTTTTTATGTTTTTGCCACAGGGCACATGCACTCACCTGACAGAGGAAAATACGAAATCTCCACCTCCTCCACACCCCCGCCAGGGGAAGCGGCCAGGACACAATCCTTCTCCTCTATTTTTCCTCTCGAGATTTTGGGCACATGCACACATGCCTTGTGTGATTTTCAAGTTGCCAGATTCAGGACTTGAACCTTAGTCAACCATGTGAGAATCCAGTGCCTTACACACCATGCCACTGCTGGCCCCATCTTCCTTCTTTTTAAGGCAGACACTTTTTTTTTTTAAGATTTTTGCCATAGGGCACATGCATTCACCAGAGCGGGACAAGGAGAGGCAAAGTGAGACACCACCCCTGAGGGGATCCGCACCACAGTCCCTTCTCCTCCGTTCTCTTCCTGGGATTTTGGGTGCGCACATGCACACACACGTCTGGTGTGATTTTTCAAGCCACTGGGTCCGGGACTCGAAGTGCAGTCAGCCACATTAAAGTCCAGTGCTGTAATTACTATGGCACCCACTGACCCCTAGGCAGACCCTTGTGATTCTTCATTAAGTAAGTTTTCCCTGATTTTTATGGGTTACCACCTGTAGTTCTAAAGCTGTCTTAGAAAATACTTGTTAATCATTTTTTTTTTTTGAAAGGTTTCTGCTCTAGGGCACGTGTGCTTGCCAGAAAGACAGAAAGAGACAGAGAGAGACAGACATAAAGCGAGAAATCACCCCCCGGGGGGATGGCCACGCCACAATCCCTTCTCCTCTAGTCTCCTCTCAGGATCTTGAGCACGCATGCACACATGCCCGGCGTGAGTTTAAGCCACCGGGTCTGGGACTCGAACCGTGGTCAACTACATGGGAGTTCAATGACATAGCTGTTAACCAGCTAACTGCTGGTCCAAATCATTTTTTTAAATTTATCTTATGGGTGTAGGAAAGACATAAAAATGACGGATAGATGAACCAGGACAGATAAGACAGAATAGAAAAGTTACAGAGATGCCGCCAGTATTACACGTCGGGGCTCCACTTTTGTGATTAATTCACGCAGCAGTCATTAACTCTCCTGGACAGGATGCTGGTACTTCCCATAAGACTCGAGCTCTGGGCGCCCCATCTGCGGGACGTGGCAGCTTTATTGTAAAATATTCTCTTTGCTCACGAGCGCCCTCTTTCTAGCCACCAGGTTAGAAGGATGGGACATTCATTTGCATTGGAAGTTTCATTAAATGTGGGTTTTGCTAACATTCGACCTGTCTGAGAATGTTTCTGAAGCCTTCCGTTAGCGTGGGGGGCGTGTCTGCAACACGTCTACCCAGCTCTCGGTGTACGCATCCCGGTCCCGCTTCATTCTAACCCTTGTGTGTTCCCTGCGCGTGTGCAGACCCAGGCCAGTGAGGTCCTCCAGCTGAGTAGTCACAGGCTGGGAGTGGGTTCTCAGGGCAGTGTTGGTGGTCAGCAGAAGCCCCTGCCTGAAAAGACAGACAGACAGAGTGGGAGAGGGAGGGGGGAGGAGTCAGCAGCCTCCCAGGCAATTACGATTTTAGGTGAATCGTTTTGGCCTTTGGAATTTCAGTACCCCTATACTGGACACGTGTGCAGCTGTCGGGGTCTGATCTTAGATTTTACTTTTGAGTTCACATAATGATTTTTAACATATTCTAATATACGTCTTCAAAGACCCCAGATCAATATGCCAATGGCTTTGAAATGACAGAGTGCCGCGATATTCCTCTGTAATTTAAACATGATTAGCTGATGAAGGTAATGATCAATACACTACGGGAGGATAAATTAATTGATACCGTCCTTTCAGGATGATGCGGGGCCTATCGGAGGTGGGACGTAACTAGTGGAGCCGCTGCTTGTCTCCGTGGCCCGGTTTTATGTATTGCCTCTTCACTTAATCATATTTATACCATCATTCATTTACTCGGAAACCGTGAGCTGCGGACAAACCAGTTCCTTATTAAAATGGTACTCATTTGGAGAAGAAATGATCTGCAAACCCTGTGTCACAGCCCTGTGGCTGGGAGAGGTGACGTGTCCCTGTGTATGGGCATCTCACCTGGACAGGGACAAAGGCTGAATGTTGCTGGACTTAATTACAGCCGGTCCCCAAAGACACGTCTCCCCACATGAAAGCCACAGTTATGCTGCTGTAGACGCCTGTTGGTGTGCTGAGATTTCCTGTCGTTGACTTCCTTTCCAATTAAATTCAGTATGCCTTATCCAGGAGCCTTATTTGCCAAAAGAGGTATGGCTGGTGGAATTTAGATTCGTATTGATTGAGATAAACTTGTAATGTGTGTAGCAATTTATTTAAATAACGCAGGGTCTCTGATGTAATTGCATGTCCTCGAGTACCATTCGATATGACAGTTTGCAAAGCTGGAAGTCATTCTTCAGGCTAAACAAAAGATTTTTGGCTTTCCGAGGAGTTAGGTTAAATTGCCCTGTATTACTTAGGATTGTTTTTGCTCCAAGTCACTGGGGAAAAATCGTTGTATTAGAATAACGTAGGTAGGTGTGCGTTTTTGTGTTCTCTCTGAACCCTCTGAGGTGGTCTCTGCAGGGCTGCTGAGCCCGCATACAGTCAGAGGGCTGGCTCTTCTCTCTCTTGCCTTACCAAGTGTGCTTCCGTTTCTGACATTACCTCGTGGCCCAGAATGGCTGCAGGGTTACAGATATGTGTGCATTCCGGGCAGCAAGTAGGAAAAGGACACAGGGAGAAATGGGCAGAGCATGGCTCCTCTTCGAGAAGATTTCTGCAGACTTCCCCAGCGGGGCTGCACCCATCCCATTGGGCAGAACTGGCTTTCCTGCTTGGTTTGGCTGGGTGGGTAGGATGGACGAGGCCCTGAGAAATGCCACACTGGGGGTGGGCCAGGCCCTGGGAAATGCCCTATTTATTGTGGTCAGTGTACACCTGTTCGCACTGGCCTCACCTCGCCACCCTGTCTCCGTGCCCACCAGTTGCCCAGAAGGTCGTTGCCACGAGGAAGAAGCAGCAACTGTCCATTGGGCCCTGCAAGTCGCTGCCCAACTCCCCGAGCCACTCGTCGGTCTGCTCCGCGCAGGTGTCTGCTGTGCACATGAGCCAGGTAGGTCGGGGTTGTGAGAGGTCGGCCGAAGGCACGGGAGAGCCAGGAGGACGCGCCCATGGCTCGCAGCCAGTGCCCAGCGACCGTGTTTCCTTTGCAGCTTTATCAATAGCAGTAGGTTCATAATTGACTTCACATTTCCTGTAGAAACTGCTGTGGCCAAGCGTTTTTTATGGGAACTGTTCTTTAACGCTTCACGTGTTCACACTGCTGCACTGCCAGGCGTGCTGGCAGGGGGTGGCGAGGTGCGTGCCGCGGTCCTTGTGGTTGATGGAGGCCGCCCGCGGGGCCTGGCCCCAGTCTGCTTGGAGCTCGAAGAGTGGTGAAGAAATCTTAACGACCGGTCCCCTGTATGCTTCAATTTGGGAGCAGCATTCAATTACAATTAGCATTTCCCTCAGGCCCTATAGGGACTGCTCTCTCCATAACAACATTTTGCTAAATTGTGTACTTGAAAGCGAAGGGAATAATTGTCACTTTGAAGAACCCAACCAAAACTGTTGGCTTTGCTTTTGATTAACAGTTCTCCAGTAGGTACGCTCTATTTTTTTCTTAAAGGACGCAGTGAGGTGTGGGATTATGTTCTCAGTTTTCCTGGAAATTCAGTGAGTTACTGCATTTACTACAGGGGCCTGTAAAGGTACAGTGAAGGGAGTTAGCATCTTAACTCTCAAAAAATGTTTAGGCTTCACGATAGAGACCTTCTTTTTCCCCAAACACACACCTCTTTAAGAGATGGTACATTCTAGAAGGAGACCGTGTACACAGAGCTCAGTGGGCAGAGCCGGGGAGGGGACTCTGCCTGTCTCGCATGCTCTCCTCAGTGCGACTTGGTAGCTGGCGGTTATGACCCGGCTCCATGGTCATAAAGGCCTTCAACTCCTGGGGCGTGCCGTTCATAACACCTTGGCTTTTCTTTGTTACAGACGAGTAATGGAGGGGGCAGTTTGAGTGACTACTCCTCCTCCGTCCCGTCGACTCCGAGCACCAGCCAGAAGGAACTCCGCATTGATGTCCCTCCCACCGCCAACACGCCGACGCCCGTCCGGAAGCAGTCCAAGCGCCGCTCTAACCTTTTCACCGTGAGTGCAGTCCTGGGTGGGAGGGGGTGTGATTCTGGCGCGTTTCCACGGCTGGTCACCTGGCCTCCAGGTGGTTCGTTGGATTTGGGAGAATCCCAGCTGAGTACACGAGAACAGCGTTGATTTCTGCGGAAGTCAAGGAGCTCATGAGAAGCAAAGACGTGGATCCTGGGTGGAATGGGAATGTGGGCAGTAATGACACATGTCCGGATAATAGTATGCACACATCAAAACTGAAGAGCAAGGGGTGTGTGTAAAGACTGATGAGCCGTGCCTTCGTGGCCTCTAACCTGGGGCTCGTCACACAGGGTACGAAGGGATGACCGCTCTGCCTGAATTCCCGTGTGCGTGTCGAGCACCACAGGTGGAGATGCGGAAGAGGCCCACAGTCACTGGGTCTTGTCTCCACGCTGGGTCCCTGGGTTACCTGAGGCTGGGTGGGGACAGAGAGGGGGTCAGCACAAGCTCTGAGTCCTTTCCAGAGGCCCATGAGCACAGAGCCTCTGCCCCAAGTGGAACTCAGATTTACAAACCCAGAATCCGTGGATGGGGCCGGGCAGGTAGAGTTCTCAGAGTTCCCTGGGAAGCTGCGATGTGATGCGGGGTTGGGTGGGGGGGGTCCTCTGGCTGCAGAGGAGGCAGGAGTGCTGCAACCCATCCTTTCCCTTATGCCCAGCAGACATTATCAATCAATCACAGAAGGCGCTGTGGTGAGCCCAGAGCTCCCTGTTAGCGCTGCTGGTCATCTGAGTGCAGAAGAGCACTTTCTGTCGCTGGACCTGTTCTGTACAATACAAGTCCGTGCTCTTAAGTCAGTGGTTCTCAGCCTGAATGGTTTTCCTCCCCAAAGACATTTGGCAAATTCTGGAAAAGTTTTGTTTGTCACAACTGGGGCCCAGGAATGGACAGATAAGATCCTAGGCTGCAACACCTCTGACGACACACAGGTTGGCCCCACAACACAGCTGCCCAGCCCCTGTTTCAAACCACTGGACTTGTCTTTTGGTTAGGCTCAAAGAGGTTCGCCGTTCCGTCTTGAACTTAGGGAGGACTTGAACCGGGAAGCTGGAGCGTTTTCTCTTTCTTTTCTTTTTCTTCTTTTTTTTTTTTTGGAGAGGTTTTTGCCATAGAGCGCGTGCACTCGTCCCTTGGGGGGACGGCCACGCCACAACCCCTTCTCCATTCTCCTCTCGGCATCTTGGACACGCACGCACATGTGCCCAGCATTAGTTTAAGCCACCAGTTCCAGGACTCGAACCATGGTTGACTACACGGGAGTCCAGAGACATAGCCATTATGCCAACTGCTGGTCCCTGGAGTGTTTTCTGATCTGCTGCCTGGGCTGGAAGATGGCCTTCTGGATGCCGTGGGTCCTCACCCAGTCTAGTAGCTCCCTGTGTAGCTGTCTCTCACTGGCCAGTCGTTACGGCCGGGATCTATGGCTACTGTTGCTGGGGGTGGTGAAGGCTAGGCAGACGGTCCAGGCTCAGACCCTGGCCTACCCACTGGTGGCTGTTTGGCCTTAGGTAAGGGATTGACTTCTCTGAGCTGGAAACAGTGGTGTTCTGCAGTGGAGCTTGGGGAGGACTCCCTGTGGGGGCAGAAGAGTGCCATTGCATTCATTTTTCTCTGACTCCCACTGGCCTGAGAAAATGCCTTCTAACAGTGTTAGGCAAGCGCCGTTGCAGGACTGTTAATACATGGGGAGGGTAGGTGTTTAGATTTCCAGAAAACATAGGCAGATCTGGATATGCTTACACTGCACGTGAGTTAGATGGTTTCCTGTGAAATTTCCTCAGAGAATGACAGCAGGCCCCGGAACAGCTGCTTCTACTCTGTCATGCACCTGTCACCCTTCTCTCCACCCAGGTTGAGGGTCTAACTGAAAACGCGTCACCTCCCGGAGCAGGCAGCACACTCACTCGTGACGAGGGACTTGAGAAACCAACTGCCCGAGATGCAGCTGAGTGTAGGGAGGGTAGGCCCTGAGCTAGCCCTAGCACAGCACGGTGGGGAGGCGGCGGCCTTGTTAATGTCTGCATCTTCGCCACCTCCCTCGGAGTGGCAGGGAACACCCAGACTCAGTGACACCTTGCAAGGGCTGCATTTATTGCTCTCGGACTCTGGTTCCTATTCTGAGGGGAAGACAGCAAACAGAGATCTAAAAATGGGGTTTTCCTAGAGACACCAGCACATCCCCAGCTTCATCCTTGACAAGGGCAGCCCTGGAGTCGGCGTGGATCACAAGTGTTGTGGGCCCTGTCCACCAGGAAACTGACAGCCCACACAGCTTACAGAGGGGGCGCTTCACGGAAGGCAGGAAGAATCAAGTAATGATAAGCCAAAGAAACGCTTGGTTAATACTGGCTTCACGCAGGCTCTTGGTGGGGCCCTGGTTTTGCTGTGTCCAGGAGGAGGGGCTGCTGCCACACCCCACATTCATGAGAATCTGGCGTAGAGAAGAAGGAGGGGGAGGAGAGACAGCAGCTGAGAGGAGGGCCCTCTTCCAGCTCGCAAAGCTGCACACGCAAGTGCATGTGGACATGTGTGCATGCACATACAGACAGCCATGCAGAGGCCGGAAGCCACAGTTGGCCAGACAGGCAGGCCAGGAGCCAAGGGAAATTCATTGTCCTGGTGACTGAACATCTCCATTAATTACAGCATAATTCATGGGTCTGATAGTACGGTGGCCTGCCGGGATCCGGGTGCTAGCAGAGCTTGGGCTCTTTAATGTGGGGATGTGCGTTGAGAGTACCCGTTGTAGAAACTAGGTCTAGCTGCCTGACTTGGTAGTGGGAACAGAGACTTGGGGTCATGAAAGAGACTAACACCACAATAGGTCTGCATCGTGGCATTAAGGAAAGGAGGGTGAATCCCAGCTCAGGGGCTTGTATGCTGGTCCTTATGGGGTTTGACACCAACAAAACGATGGTGATGGTGGTGATGAAGGTGGTGGTGATGATGATGAAGGTGGTGGTGAGGATGGTGATGGTGATTATGGTGGTGATGATGATGAAGGTAGTGGTGACGATGGTGCTGAAGGTGGTGGCGAGGATGGTGATGATGGTGGTGATGAGGAAGGTAGTAGTGATGATGGTGGTGATACTGATCAAGGTGGTGGTGAGGATGGTGATGGTGGTGATGATGGTGATGAGGAAGGTAGTGGTGACAATGGTGAAGGTGGTGGTGAGGATGGTGGTGGTGATGATGAAGGTAGTGGTGACGATGGTGAAGGTGGTGGTGAGGATGGTGATGGCAGTGGTGACAATGGTGCTGAAGGTGGTGAGGATGGTGGTGGTAATGATGAAGGTAGTGGTGACGATGGTGCTGAAGGTGGTGGTGAGGATGGTGGTGGTGACGATGAAGGTAGTGGTGACAATGGTGCTGAAGGTGGTGGTGAGGATGGTGGTGACGATGAAGGTAGTGTTGGCGATGGTGAAGGTGATGGTGAAGATGGTGATGATGGCAGTGGTGAGGATGGTGCTGAAGGTGGTGGTGAGGATGATGGTGATGGTAGTGGTGACGATGGTGCTGAAGGTGGTGATGAGGGCGGTGAGGTTGGTGATGATGGTAGTGGTGACGATGGTGATGAAGGTGGTGGTGAGGGCGGTGAGGTTGGTGGTGAGGGCGGTGAGGTTGGTGATGATGGTAGTGGTGACGATGGTGATGAAGGTGGTGGTGAGGGCGGTGAGGTTGGTGGTGAGGGCGGTGAGGTTGGTGATGATGGTAGTGGTGACAGTGGTGCTGAAGGTGGTGATGAGGGCGGTGAGGTTGGCGATGATGGTAGTGGTGACGATGGTGATGAAGGTGGTGGTGAGGGCGGTGAGGTTGGCGATGATGGTAGTGGTGACAATAGTGATGAAGGTGGTGGTGAGGGCGGTGAGATTGGTGATGATGGTAGTGGTGACGATGGTGATGAAGGTGGTGGTGAGGGCAGTGAGGTTGGCGATGATGGTAGTGGTGATGATGGTGCTGAAGGTGGTGGTGTGAGGATGGTGATGATGGTGATGGTAGTGGTGACGATAATGATGAAGGTGGTGGTGAGGGCGGTGAGGTTGGTGATGATGCTAATGATAGGAGGGTCATGGTGGTGATGCTGGCGATGATGTAGTGGTGGTGGCAATGACATGATGCACGAGGTGTTTTTTTTTTAAGTTGAAGGTCTTGGAAATATTAACTCCACTAGATGTCAGTGTCATCCAAGGAATGAAAAGAAGGCAAATTAATTTTGAAATCATAGCAATTGGGAAATTATATTCTTACTCTTAGTGTTTTGTTCCTATTCTTAAATGTATAAAATTTCATAGATTCTTTATCCCTGGCAGTTGGTTTTTGACTTAAATTATCTAAATGCATCCTTATTTAGAAGTATCTAGTAGACAGATGTGCCGTAAATGAACAATGTTGGTGAACAAAAGTCCATGCAGACTGGGATGGTGCCAGCCAAATGGGGCACCGTCCACCTGATTTATTAGACTGGCACCAAGAGGCCATCGTTAATTACGCAGTGCACACGTCGATTTTCAAATGCCATTCTCATATATTTTATCGAGTGGACTTGCAGATGACTTCCCTGGGCTAATGTTCTGTACTTCCAGATGTTTCTGCTGGCATATGTACACATTTTCAAACACAAATACTGTGCACTTTCGCAAAACAGTGTAAGCTTGGTCGCAAACTATCTTGTTTTTGCAGTGGGAACTGTACCAATCAAAACCTAAATTATATCTTATTTTACATCTTTCTTTGAAAAATCATTGCTTTGAGAAAGCAACACGACAGGACAGTACCTGTTCAGTTCCTGGTTTGTTATATGATTCTTAGAATCAGTTTAGTAGCTTTAATTTACATGCAGTTAAAATGTTTTACGAGAAAACATTTTTAAACACACTGGAGTAAAAATCACACGCTTACTCACCATGCCACTAAATAAATACAAGTGTTTTTCTTCCACTGCTGTTACCGCTGCTTCAAGAAATAAGCAAATAAACGCTAAGTACGTCGAAGCCTCCATGTGTGCCCCCAAACACACTCTCCTGCCTCCGTGTGGGGATCAGCAGGGACCCGAGTGCGGCGTGCCGCATCCTGTCTGCGTGCGAAGCTTGTGCTAGCATGTGCCTGTGAGTGGCGTACTGCGTGGCGTCACCTGCTTTCCAGCTGTATCTTGAGGGTGCACTTGCACGGCAGTGGTTAGAAGCCTCCCGGTACTGCCGGTGCCACTAAACAGAGCCTGACATACCCAGTAACCAGTAACATTGCCCGACTCACAGCAACTCGCCGCAGAGATCTGGCAGCCGATGCACTAAGTAGAACGGCGAGGACGGCGTGCTGTGCTCTCTGTAGAGAGAGAGAGCCGGGTGCCTGTGATCACGCCCCGGCAGGCTTTGGCTCGCACATGGGTTTGGGGGAAGCTGGTTGTTCTCAGATAACGAGGGCTCTCGGCACTGATGCACTGAGCCCGTAGGCAGTCATTGGTGAGAGTGCCTTAACGGCTTCTTTCACCATCTGGGGGAAAGGTAAACATTTTGGTAAAGAAACGGGATAGTTGGGGTATCCGCATTCCATGTTGTGGGAGGCTATGCAGTCCCCATTGAGGCTTGCTGAGTGTCGTCTTCAGGTTTCCAGACCTCCAGTGGGAGAGAGAACTCCTGGGAGGTGCCCAGTCCTACAGAAGGCTGGACGCAGTTCCCTTCCCCCGATGCATGCAGGGTCCTCAGGCAGTGCCATGTCGGGAGTTCAGAGACCACTGCAGCAGAAACAGAAGGGTGTGTCCTTCGTGACTGTCCCCACAGCTGATGGAAGACTAAGGGGACCTCACTGTGGATTTCCATATGTGGCAGGGCATTGCGTTCAGTGGCACTGTTTCTGTTTAGTTACGATATGTCAGTGTCTTTGATCCGGCCACCCTGGACAGAGTAATTTGGGGCCAACGAGCCAGCAGCTTGCCACTGCTCCGTTCTGGAAATGTCGGTAGTCTCTCCAGAATGTTCCATTTCTGCTCTGACATCTTACCTAATTCTCATTCTCTGGCATCTCAGTAGTTCTCTGTCGTTCCTCTTCCGAGGTGCTCAGAGGGACCGCTGGCTTCCTGCTTCTGTTTCAGGTTCCCTTCCGAGAGCGGAAGCTCTGGGATCACAGGGATGGTGCAGGCAGGTGTGTTGCCCTGAGGAAGATGTTAATTATTTTTATGTTTGTTTTGTTAATTATTCTGGTTAATAGAGAGTAATGAAGATGGATTTTCAAATTTAGAAATGGAGAATTCATAAAATTCCAAAGTCCCGTTAACATTCTCCGTTGGTTTAAACATTTTTAGATGTCATCCCTGTGAGCTTTGGAATTTATTTTACAACCAGAAGCCTCGAGTGCCAACTTTCCCATGAACGGAGGTGTGGGGAGAACGAGTTTAAGATATTTGTGCAGAATTTAACAATTAATTAATAAAGAAAAGTGAGCCCCCAAGCCCTCGATAAAATTCATAACAAGGAGTTGATAAATATCTCTATTTCCTACTCCAAAGGGGCGAACCTTGCATTTTATAATGCGCAACTCCTTATTTATTGCCTGTTCGGTCTCCCACCATCTCATTCCAGGCTTCTACCATCCTAGAGGGGAGCGGGTGCCTGGCTAGTCGGCGCTCAGTCAGTGACCGGTCCAGTGACTGTCTGGGAAGGAGAGCGGGTGGCTGGCTAGTGGGCGCTCAGTCAGTGACCGGTCCGGTGACCGTCTGGGAAGGATGTCTTGTGGCTGGCTAGTCGCTGCTCAGTCAGTAAAAAACTCAGTGACTGGTCCATTGACCGTCTGGGAAGGAGAGCGGGTGGCTGGCTAGTCGCTGCTCAGTCAGTGACCGGTCTGGTGACCGTCTGGGAAGGAGAGCGGGTGGCTGGCTAGTCGGTGCTCAGTCAGTGACCGGTCCAGTGCCCGTCTGGGAAGGAGAGCGGGTGGCTGGCTAGTTAGCGCTCAGTCAGTGACCGGTCCGGTGACCGTCTGGGAAGGATGTTTTCTGAGGCACAGCTCTGCCCAGGAGAACAACAGCCTTTGAAGTTCAGGATCTGAGTCTACGTCATGGCAACTGTCCGGGAATCCTAACCCTGCCCCCAGCCCTTGTTTATGTGACATTCCATGACATCGCCCCTTTAATTTTGAAGGGGAGGGCGAGCGCTCCTTCTCCTGCCCCCCGGAATCCGGATTCCATTAGCTTTTCACTGCGGCGCTGGACACCACGAAATCTCCTCATTGCATATATCATCTCGGATTTGAAAAGCACGTGGAAATGTTGCTCCATTTTCAATATTGCGTGAGTAATGTTCCCATTGAAAAGTAATGGAGTGAAGTTGTCACTTGTCAGCTCAGTTATTAAGGAGGACGAGTCTCCGATCTTTCTCTCATAATAAAATAAATCTGTCAGAAAATCATTGTGCTCACACGTCCTCATGCCATGAGAGAGGAGCCTCCGAGCGTGGGGTCCCTTCAGCTCTGCCCGGGCCAGGTGCGCTCGGGCCGTGGCTTCCCCGGCTCATGCGTGGCCCTCTCCCGCCGCTCCTGTGCGGGTCATCCTGCGGAGACCGTCGTTTTGGCAACTTGGCAAACAAGGCGCTCGCTAGCCCCACATTCTGACATTTTGTCGGAGGACATAATGGGTTTTTTTCTACTTGCTATTTTTTTTTTTTTGAGGTATTTGTGCATGAGTTTAACTTTGAATTCCCTGTTTTCTAACCATCCAGAAGCAATAAAAGGAGACATCAACTGCACCTCGATACGAATCAAGGGTGTACCGCTGCATCGCACAGCTGACTGGCTCGTGGAATTTCTAAATCACGCAGACGTTAATTAAATATTCACATTCGGGTGGAGGGTCCCGCGTACACGCAGCCCGGAGCACTGTTCTCCTTGGCGTCGTTAGCTGCAGCTTCCACATGTGTTTTCCTGTTGGGCGTTACTTTCCTATATGGTCCATTGGTTTCTAGTAATTGAATTTTGAACTCTTTAAAAAAGAATTAAAAGACAATTTCATAGTGCGAAAGTTGGGGAAAAAGTTGAGAAAATTCTCTTTCCAGCGATGAGTCGGTGGGGACGAATGCCTCTGTGGTCTGCTTCGAGGATGCGTGTGTATGCACGTCTGCACACACGTGTCACACGTGCTTTCTCCATAGGTGTTGGCAGGGACTGAGCAGACGGGCGAGCCCCTCGCGGGCTGCAGCCCCTGCCCAAACACTAACTGTCCTTTTGCATTGCAGTCTCGGAAAGGGAGCGACCCAGACAAAGAGAAGAAAGGCCTGGAGGGTCGTGCGGACAGCATCGGGAGTGGTCGCGCCATCCCAATTAAACAGGTACGCTGCCCCCCCGCCGCCCCTGCCCTGTCGCCAGAGACGCACCTCGCCTTCCTGGCAACGAGGCGGGCTCGAGCACCAGGTTTGTTTGATGTGCTCTGTTGATGAATGTAGAAGTCACTCACTTGACATCAATTAGGAGGGGTTCCTGTGTGTATTAAAATAGGATCATTAGAATAAGAAGAGGGAAATGTGACAACAGCCCTAATGAAGTGCAGTCTGCCCGCCTGCGCGTGGAGCGTGTTTCCAGGCCGGGCTGGCTTCAAAGGCCGCCTTTGTAGCGCGGCTTTGATTGGGCCGCTGGCCGCCAGTCGACAGGGCTACATCAGATCGCCGTACAAGAGCCCCTTGTGATCACAGGCATAGCCCGACGTGGCCCTAATTTGCTCTCACAGACGGACATCTGAACGCCGTTCCAGGCTGGTCTGTAACAACGAGGCAATTAGTTGTGATAATCATAGCCGGTGTGTCAGCTGGTGCGTGCTTGTTTGCAATTTGCTAATGAAGGAATTGTAACTTTGATTGGGTTCAGTTTCATTTAGACCTTATTATATAAAGGAACATTTACAGCTGGAATGTGGGGCCTTAATTAAACTTCCTCATTACACAGCAGCACTTGGCGCCGAGCATTTGTTTTGGCCTATGTCGCTAGCCCAGATAGGATTTCATTAGCCCAGAAAGCGGAGACCGAAGTACTTTATGTCTCGAGCAGAAATCACTGGAATTCGTGTGTGACGGTTTCTGTTGTGTTTTCAGAGAGAATAAAAACAAAGAGTTCAGTCCTGCCCCGTGGCTTCTAGAAATGCCATCTTTTAATTTGCTAAAGACAGACAGTTGGTTTGGAGTTTGTTTTGTATGAGGGGGATTCTGGACAGGCTAACCGCTCTGCCTCAGTGGACATTGCGGGGAGTGCGTTCGTCGCCTGATAGATCTCGCTGATTCGCCCTCCTCTTCCGGGGTGCCTGTGCTCCACCTCGGGATTGTTGGGGACTGTCACTGGTGCTGGCCACCCTTTAGAAGGGGCAGAGTCTCTGCAAGTGCAGCTGGATGATTTCAGCCAGGCCGGTGCCTCCATTTGAAACATGTGAAAGTGCAGTTTCGACTCAGAGCCGGCATTTCAGCCTTGAAGCTGTGGGAGAGGAGCGGGTTCCCTGGGGCTCCCGAGTCTTGGGTGAGACCAGAGGGAGTCCAAACGGTTTCCAGGAAGCCAGAAACTGTCTCAGAAACCAAACCCACCCCTCCCCACATGCATAGCTGAGTCCGCCCGGGTCATCGACACGAGCTTTCTCTCTCCTGCCCTGCCCGGGCCATTGACGCCTTTGCCCGGTGGTGGGGACACAGGCCAGAAGGTAGTAACCGGGGCAGCACACCTTCATGTACAGCACACGTGTAGGTGCCCTGGGCGACAGACTTGGATGGGCACCGTGAAGGGAAATTCTCTTCCCTCTGCGTCTCTCCAGACAAAACAACAGTAAACAACCCTCACTTCACTGGTGGTGGTTTCCCTAAGAAATGGTTTCTTTACTGTAGAGGCCTACACACATAACTGTTAGGTTTTAAACCTCATCTCTGCTTAAGGTCATTTTAACTGTGATTTTTGATGCTGTAAATGTCATTTCATCTAGAATTAACAAAAATCATGTAACTTGTTTTTCCTCATACAAAACAATAACAGGTACTGGGATTTTGACTTTTGGGTCTGTTAAAATCTAGGAGACTGTTTCCCTAATTCGTGTCTGTTGTTGGTGTTCAGGGGGTTCTCACCTCAGGACAGGAGCCCCTCAGTGCGAGCCAGGCAGGCCCCAGTGTCGTTGGAACCTCCCTCAGCGGCTCCCTGCCTGTCTGCACAGGGCTAGCTTTGCAGGCTGCATTTTCAATATGTGTGCAGATTGGAGTTGACCGTCAAGCGTAAAATGAGTATTATCCAGTCCTTGGAAGCCTTTTGACTGGGAATGCTCAAAATCATCTTGTTGAAATCTAAATCGTGGTCTGATTTCCCAGCGTCTCCTGGGCACAGGCAGCTGCGGGCCAGCCCCTTCCTAAAGTCCACACCAGGCCCAGCAAAGTCCTGCCACTGCTGATCCTCCGTCTGTAACACAGGGAGCTGGATGATGTCTGAGCCACTTACAACACTGAGATGGGCAGATTCTTAAACCCACCCACACTGGACTGAAGTCAGTCATGTTCAGGACGCCCCTGTCGGAGCCCGTGTGTGTGGTATGAGTCGACGTGGGCTCATAGGCCGTCCTGTCGGTTTCCCTGGCATTGCCCGTGTGTGCCCTGTTTCTAAAGGAACACACAGGTCATTGAGATGGTTTGGACGCTCCCACTGTGATGACTTCAATGTGGATACGAAAGGAGAGGATTGCAGAGGACAGGGCTCAGCTTGGTAGTACCTGCCCGGCGTAGTCTAGAAACACGACAGACGTATTCACTGAACAAGTGGAAAATTAAACAAGTGCTTAGTATTGAAGTGCATTCCATATAGCATGCCGTTCATCCTCAGCCTTGCCACGGTGGAGGTTGCTGCTTTCTCTTGAGTGTAAACCACACCCAGAGCGGGGGTGTTCTAGACCAGGCAGGTGGGACGCAATGGGGCAGGCCCTTCTGGGCCAGCATCTGACTCACTGCTCACTGCTGAAACGCCCTCGGAAAGCTTAGGAAGCAGAGTTACAAGTTTTAAATTCAAGAGGCGAACCCTCATCACAGTAGGGGAATCGGAGGCCCGTGTGGATGAGACTTTCCTGACTGTGCCTGCTGTTGCACGTCTCCAGGGGTGACACGGCCACGCTCACCCGTTCCCGGGCGGGGAGGGTCACTTCGATCCCGTCCTGGTTTTGTTTGCCACCCCCATGTTCCCTGCCTATCCCATCGGAGCAGGACACTTTGTAAAAGACTCGTCTGCATGACTAGAACCCCAAGCTCCAGCTCAGAGACCCTAGGCTTCATCACAGAGGGATCGTTGAAACCTCAGTGGTCTTTGTGGGAGCAGTGACGGTCATGGGTTCGGACTGGCCTCTGTCCCTGTGGTCACAAA